GCTCTACCGCTTGAGCCACAGTGCTACTTCTGCCTTTTTCTTTTTGCTTATGTGGTACTGAGGAATCGAACCCAGGGCCTCAGGCATGCAAGGCAAGCGCTCTACCACTGAGCCACCTTCCCAGCCCTCTTGTGGAACTTTAATGTGGTACCTGTAAGGATTAGTTCCAGGACCCACCTTAGATACCAAAATCTGCAAATCCATAGATCTCTAGTATAAAATGGTACACTATTTGCACTCACATATGCACACATATATATTCTACCTGTATATCCTATATTATCTCTTGATTGCTTAACATAACTAATACAATATAAATAATTGCTGTACTATTTACAACTACATAATAGCTGTTTAGAGAGTAATAACAAGAGAAAAGATCCGTACATATTTAGTACAGATACAAGTTTTCTTTTTCTGACTATTTTCAATTTGCATTTGGTTATAACCACAGATAGATTGGATATGAAGAGAAGATTGTATTTTAATCATACAGAAATTAGTATATACAATTGAGAAGAGGAACTTTATAATCATTCAGTCTTAGTATTTTAGATGGGTGCTGGTGATTCACACCTGTAATCCTAGTTACACAAGAGCCTGAGAGCTGAAGATCACAGTTCAAAACCAGCCTGGGCAAGACATTTCATGGGACTCTGACCTTCATTTAGCCAGCAAAACACCAAAAGTAGTAGAGCACCAGTCTTGAGTGAAAAAGCTCAGGAACAGCACCTAAGCCCTGAGTTCAAGCCCCAGTACCAGCACAAAAAAAGCTCTCGAAACCAAAAACTGTACTCTAACAGATTAGTAGTATCCTGAATGTAGCCTTTTCTCTCTTTCCCAACTATATTTCTATATTTTTACTATATATATGTATATCTATAAGCAATATAGAGTTTAAACTTTGTCCAAAGAGATGACGTTAGCCTTTTTTTCTTCAGAAATTGGTTAATTTACCTATCCTTTTTCCTACGGGGCATTTAGATTGTTTACATTCTCTTGGATTTAGTGAATAATTCTGCTATGACCTTTCTTACATATTTCCTTATATTGGGAAAGGTTTTGAACTGGGCTTCCTGGAGTTGGCCTGTTCCCCTTTAGTACAAATTGTTAATTTTTTTGTACTCCTCTAAATAGTGACTCTCATTAAGTTTTCATCATAGATAGTCATAGGTCTCAGAGTATTACAGTTTTACAGAAATGATGGGTTGTTTGCATAGTTAAATTACAAGTTGCTTTTCTCATTTCTCCACTGGTGGTTGATAGGCTTTTAAATCCAACATGATCTTAGGGAGAAGTGTGAAAAAATAAAGTCTTGATGTAACTAAATTCTAGTTTCTTATGTATGCTATTGCCGTGGCTTCTGGAGTGCAGCCCCCCACAATTCCTTGCTGATTCAGTTGTACTTCTTATAGAGAGAGACCTAATAAAGCGAAGTAATTACTGATTTTTTTTATGCTGGTTTCTGTGTTCATAGATTGTCAGAGGACTGAACAGTAGGCAGCACTGTTTGTTGGAGAGCCCCACAGGCAGCGGGAAAAGCTTAGCCTTGCTTTGTTCTGCTTTAGCCTGGCAACAGTCTCTTACAGGTAAGTAGTTGCTTCACATCTTCAGGCTGCTTAATGGGACCTGAAAAAAATTAAAGTACTCTTGATCCAGACTAGTTCAACCATGTTCTAGCTATTCTTTCTCCTTTTGATGGTGTTGGGGCTCATGTGCAGGGCCTTGCACATCCCAGAGAAATGCTTCTCCTTGGAGTTACATCCCAGTCTGAACATTGTCTTATAAGATGTTTCTTTAAAAAAAAATTGTTATAAAGGTGATGTACAAAGGGGTTACAGTGACATAAGTCAGGTAACGGGTACATTTCTTTTTGGACAATGTTACCCCTTCCCTCGTTCCCTCCTGGTTTTTCTCTCCCATCCCCACTCACAACTTGTATAGTTAATTTTCAACATAGTGTCTAGTGCATACCACTGCTGCATTTGCTCATCAGCGGATTAATATTTCAGACCTTCATACATGCTAGGCAAACAATCTTTAAAGAGACTACTAGCCCTAAAGACAGTTCTTTATGAGAACCTTTCCAAAAAGTTCAGTACAGCAGAATATGCTTAATCTTAAAACATACTATGAGGGTGGGGGAGGGTACAAAACTCTGGAGAAAAAGGGTGAAAAAGTGCAGCAGTGGAGCCCACGGTCACTGATGAAAGTGAACTGTGCAACTCATGGGTGGTGATGGGAAGGAGGGACTGGGAGAGAGTGAGGTGGGACAGGAAGACACTGTATGAAAGGAAATCCCTCTGTCCATCACCTTTATATAACAATAAAGTAAATTTAAAAATATATTAGTGCAATTTAGTCTTTACCTCTGTATAAGAACATTGTCAGTGCTTAGAACTATTATGGAAATAATTAGATGATAATTTATATGTAAAAGATACCAGAGATGAGGTGTTGATTTTATTGAGTAAATCCTTTAACACATTTGTTTATCTGACCCTTTCTGATAACATTCAAATGTGGAATAGATGAGAAAACTTACAAGCCAGTCCTGATAGCAGAGGTTGAGGTGATTCTCCTTCTCCCTCTCCCTCTGGCTCTCCCTCTCCTCCCCCTCTTCCCCTCTCCCTCCCCCTCTCCCCCTTTCCCTTCTCCTCTCCCTCTCCTCCTCAGCACCCCTCCCTTCCCTTCCTCTCCCTTCCCCTACTCCCCTTCTTCTGAGGGCCTGGGTGCTGTTCCTGAGCTTTTTTGCCCAAGGCTAGTGTTCTAACACTTTCACCCACAGCACAACTTCTGGTTTTCTGGTGGTTAATTGGAGATAAGAGTCTCAGGGACTTTCCTGCCCAGACTGGCAAGGACTCATAATCCTCAGATCTCAGCTTCCTGAGTAGCTAGGATTACAGGTGTGAGCCAAGGGTGCCCAGCTATCCCAACTTTCTTTAAGAGATTATTTTTTCTTCTTGGTGATGGGGTTTGGACTCAGGCTCTGGTGCTGGCCAGGTAAGTGATCTTCCACTGGATCCACACCCCAGCCCTAAAAGGAAATGTTTACGTCATTGATGAGACCTTTTTTTTCAAAAGTAAGTATTTACAAGCTTTTGTTTGTCTCTTGTGAAGCATACTGTTAATCTTCTGTATTATATTTAGGAATCAAAAGTACCTTTAGGTCTGGGAATGTGGCTTAGTGGTAGAGTGCTTGCCTAGCATGCATGAAGCCCTGGGTTTGATTCCTCAGTACCACATAAACAAAAAAAAGCCAGAAGTGGCACTGTGGCCCACGTGGTTGAGTGCTAGCATTTGAGCAAAAGAAGCTTAAGGTCAGTGCCAAGTCCCTGAGTTCAAGCCTCAGGACTGGCAAAAAACAAAGAGTAACTTTAATTAAATTTAAATGTTGTCCTTAAAATATAATTTGGTATATGTACTGTAGACTCTTGGTTTCTGTGCGTGTATGGCTCCAAGGGGACTGTTATTGAGAAACTGAATGCTCCGGTACAGAGTTCAGTGCCGTACTGGGGTTATATTTATTTTCCCCAGACATACTACCTTTCAACTAGTCAAAAACGGTCACCTTATCATTTAAGCACATCACATGCCCTTTCTGGCTTGGGAGGATTGCTGTAATTTTTACTTTGCTTTTTGGGTACCATTTTGCTTTTATGATTTTTAAGTGGCATATATTCACAGAATTAAGGGCAAGAAAATTCATACAACAATTTAAACACAACTAACAATTTAAACACCTGATGATGATGCAGAACTGACTTACAGCTTCTTCCTATCAACTGAGCGATGGAGCGTGTACTCAGGAATATAAATTGCTTTTGAAATTTCTTCCCTTTTACTCTAAGATTACAATTTAGGTGTGGTCTCTAGTTTTTACATTGGGATATCCTGGAGCAGGTTCCTTCTATCTACGGTCTCCTGACCACAGGTGTGTACCACCACTTTTAGCTTATTTGTTGAGGTGAAGTCTTGCTAATATTTTGCCTGTCTAGCCTGAAACTCTAATCCTCCAAGTACGCTTCGAGTAGCTGAGATGAACCACCTTCTCCAGCTAATTTTTAATTTATTATTTTTTACTTCATTTGCTCAAATCTGTGTGTAAGTGAACCTTCTCCAGCTAATTTTTAATTTATTATTTTTTACTTCATTTGCTCAAATCTGTGTGTAATAAAGCTGTGAGTAAGGTGGACTTAGTTTATCTGAACATGTTTCCATTTGAAATAGAAGTGTAAGGTATAAACTGTAACCCTCAGGTGTTTACATTATTTCAGATATTAACTTTTACTTTCTTCATCTAGGTAAATAGCAATTTAGAATGTACATAAATGTATTTGTTTCAGTCATTCCTGCTTGAATTTTAAATACATCTCAGTATAAATGAGTATTTGAGTGCTTGGGCTTTTATTGCATTATTAGTTTTGGGTTGTTACTAAATTGTTGTAGATTATATAAATTGATAATGACTTCTATTGGTGTTTGTGGTATGAATGTTTCCCTCCTGTCCTAATTTAATGCTGTAGGTGGGGTAACCAACCAGTCCAGGTTTGCCAGGAAAACCTTCCAATCCTCAGTGAACTCAGGTTGTTGCTCACCCTACCCACAGAAGACCACAGGTGTTTGTTTCATTAGCTGTGTTACAGAGGTTGTTTGATTTTTAGGGAAGCCAGTGGATGAAGGCGTGAGTAAGAAAGCGGAAGCACCACTGTCATGCTGCTGTTCATGCCACTCAAAGAGTTCTATACACAGTGACATGAGCCCCGGAACTTCACCGCATTTCAACACATCAGCAACGGAAAGACATGACAGTTCATCAGCCTGTCAAGGTAAGTTACATTTTGTCTGAGTCTATTGCTGTCTGTATTTGGAATCTTAATTATTACTGTTCTAAGGCCTAATTTAGATAAATTTGATTAGTATAATTGATGATGTATGTTTACCCAATTTCTTTGAAATTACTTAACAAAATTTGGTTTGCTGATGGTAATTGAGCTCTTTTGCTCAAGGTTAGGTGCTCTACCACTTTAAGCCACCCCTTCACTTCTGGTTTTCTAGGGGTTAATTGTGGATAAGAATCTCACTGACAGCTGGGAATGTGGCTTAGTGGTAGAGAGCTTGCCTAGCATGCATAAAGCCTTGGGTTCGATTCTTTAGTACCACAGAAACATAAAATTAATAAAATAAAAGGGAAAATAACCAATAACAATTATATATTTAAAAAAAAAAAGAAACTCACTGACATTCCTGCCTGTGCTGGCTTTGAGCTGTGGTCCTTAGATTTCAGTCTTCTGAGTAGCTGGGATTACTGGTGTGAGTGACCAGTGCCTGGCTAGAATTATTTTGAAAGAACACAGACTTGTTACAAATCCTTGAAAATTTGTTTTTTCTTATTTTAGTTTTTTTTTTTTTTTTTTTCTGGTCGTGGGGGCCTGAACTCTGGGCCTGGGCGCTGTCCCTCAGCTCTTCAGCTCAAGGTGAGCGCTCTACCACTTGAGCCACAGTGCCACTTCCTCTTATTTTCTTTTTTTTTGGGGGGTAGGTTGTGAGGCTTGAACTCTGGGCCTGGGTGCTGTCCTTCAACCCTTTAGCTCAAGGCAAGCGCTCTAGCACTTGTGCCACTTCCGGTTTTCTGGTGGTTAATTGGAGATAAGAGTCTCATGGACTTTTCCTGCCTGGGCTGGCTTTGAAATGGGATCCTCAGATCTCAGCCTCCTGAATAGTTATGATTACAGATGTGAGCCACCAGCACCTGGATTTATTTTATTTTTTTTGTATGATTTTATTGAGACATTTTGCCTGCCTCAATGAAGTTTTTTGATGAAGGTAAAGCAAAATAAATGATTTTAAGAAATTGATATATGTATCTAATATTGTTAATTTTATTTTAAGAATTTTATAAACATACCTTTTGTATCCTAAGATAAAATCTAATTGGCATTATTCATTCATTTTTTTGGATCATTTCTCCTGACCTCTGAGGCCAGTGTCTTAACAATATCTAACATCACACTTAATAATGAATGACTAAATTATTTCTAATTAGTATAAAAAATAAACTGTGATTGCTTGTGAGTAGCTCACACTGTTAGCCTAGCTTCTGAAAAGGCTGAGATCTGAAGATTTCAGTGTGAACCAGGCTGGGCAGGAAAGTCTGTGAGATTCTTTTCTCCAATTAATCACCAAAAAGGTATAAGTGGAGGTATGGTTTAAGTGGTAGGACACCAGCCTTCAGTGAAAAAAGCTAAAGGACAGTGCCCATGCCCTGAGTTCAAGTTCCAGTACTAGCACCAAAACAAAGAAGCAAACAAAAAACAGATTATGTGAGCTTGATTATGTAGTTAGTATTTTTAGCCTAAAAAGCATGGAGCTTCTAGGAAAGCAGCACTGAGATTATTATAGAAATTTCTTGATGGGTGCTGGTGGTGCATGCCTATAATCCTAGCTTCTCAGGAGATTGAGATCTGAGGATTGCAGTTCAAAGCTAGCCCGGGCAGGAAAGTCTGTGAGATTCTTATTTCCAATAAACCACTAGAAAACTGTAAGTAATGCTGTGGCTTAAGCGGTAGAGCACTCACCTTGAGCGGAAGAATTGAGGGACAGCACCCAGGCCCAGAGTTCAAACCCCATGACCCATGACTAACAACAACAAAAAAGACATTTCTTGATTCTTGATAGACTTTTATGGCGTTTATTTATTTACTTGATTGCTTATTTGTGTTACTTGGGACCTCATGCTTTCTAGGGAGGTGTTGTATTTCCCCAGCCACAGTTATTTGTCTTAAATTATGTCATTGGGAGCAGTCCTTAAAAAAAAAAAAAAACAAACCCATGAATCTATTTAAAAAAAAAAAAGAAATTGTGTGTTTCCTTTCAAAAGTATGGCTCTCAATATTCATTGTACCTTTGATGTAGAAATTATTTTAAATATGTTTAACATTTCATATTTTTAACTATCATGTGGAATTTTTAGAAATGCCCTACATCTTGGCTTTTTTTTTTTCTAAAAATTGCCTGACTGCTTTATACTAATTTTTGTTTACTTTTTATATAAGACTCTCCTGGGAAAAACACTCTGGCTGCAAAGTTATCTGCCAAGAAACAGGCATCTGAATACAGAGAAGAAAATGATGATTTTCAAGTAGAGAAGAAAAGAATTCGACCCTTAGAAACAGCACAGCAGGTAAAGAATTTAGACAGTGACATAATCCATTTAATTGAAGCTGAGTAGTGAAATAACAACTCCTTTGTGCACTTGTGATTTGTAAAGCTTTGTTTTAGCTACATATGGTAATTTATTGTGACTGTGTGTGTGTGTGTGTGTGTGCGCATGTGCATGCGCACACCTGGGCACTTGCTTGCCTGATCTGAGGCTTGAACTTAGGGCCTGGGTGCCATCCCTTAGCTTTTTCACTCAAGACTGGTGCTCTACTACTTGAGTTACAGCTTCACTTCTGGCTTTTGCTGATTTGTACATAAATCTCATGGACTTACTTAGTAGGCTGACTTAGAACCACAATCCTCATATCTTAGCCCCTTGAGTTGCGAGGATTACAGGCATGAGTTACTAATATCTGGCTATAGTTTCATTTTATTCAGTTACTTGTTGCATAGGAACTTGTTATTACAGCAGGTTATTCATGGTAGCATGTCAGTATGGCCCAAACTGCATGTTGATATGACAGAAAAATACTTACTTGAGGCTTATCTTGGTTATAGCAACTTTGTGCTTTTAAAATTCTTTTTTTTTCCCCCCCCCAGTTACCATACCTGTTTCATTTAAATGCTGTTGTGAAGTTGCCTGTTTTGGGAATCATTTGTTTTTAAGTAGCACTAGGGGTTTGTATTCAGTGTCTTGTACTTGCTAGGCAGCTGCTGTACCACTTGAGCCATACTCTCAGCCCATCGGTTTTTTGATGGTTTATTTGAGGATGGTATTGGGGCTTGAACTGTTCCTGAGCTTTTTTGCTTAAGGCTAACTAGCACTCTACCACTTGAGCTACAACTCCATTTCTGACTTTTTGGCTGGTTAATTGGACATAAGGATCATAAACTTTCCTGTTTGGCTGGCTTCAAACTGTTATCCTCAGATGGCATCTTCCCAAGTAGCTAGGATTACAGGCATGAGCAACCAGCACCCATATGTTTAAAAAAAACAACTATTTGATGATTGCCATTTAGAAATAGTCTGTCAGAGGAAGTTCAAATGGCAGAACACCAGACGTGAGCAAAAAAGTCAAGCTCAAAGTTCTAAGTTCAAGCTCTAGTAGTAGCATAAAAAATAAGTCTTTTCAGAGCCAGGTGCTAATGTAATTCTTACCTACTCAGGAGGCTGAGATCCAAAGATTGAAGTTTAAAACCAGTAGGGGCAGAAAAGTCAATGAGATTCTATCTCCGATTAACTAGCAAAAAACTGGAAGTTGAGGTATGGTTCAAGTGGTAGAGCGCCAGTCTTGAGCAAAAAAACCAAGTAGAGTATGAGGCCGTGAGTGTACATGTACATGTACCTGTATATGCACATACACACAGTCTTTTCAAGTGGGAGATGTGTAAAAAAACAAACACTTATTTTGATCTTTGAAAATAACTAGCCTGTGAGATTTTGAGTTTGCATTAAATTTCATCTTCCTTTCCTACAGATGAGGAAACGTCAGTGTTTTGAAAAGGAAGTACCCCATTTGGATGCAGAAGTTGCTTCAGGAAAGACTGTAAAACTCAACTCTCCATTACAAAAGATAAATTCCTTTTCTCCACGGAAGGTATGTTTATGTCCTTATTGAATAAGGGGTAATGCTAAATTTTCTAAATCCATTTTTGAAAAAAGAGAATTACGTAATTTAAAGAATAATGAAAAACAACCCTGAAGTCCTAAGTAGTGTTATGTGTATTTAGTGAACTGTGAGTGGGTAAACCCTGTCCCTCAGTGCCTTGGTTCTTCATTTAGAAAATGCAGGCAGTGCACTACAGAGTGATCAGAAAGGTTTCATCTATTTTTTCTTTTCTGTGTTATATTCTATTTTTTTTTCTTTTGTCGGTCGTGGGCCTTGAACTCTGGGCCTTAGCGCTGTCCCTCAGCTCTTCAGCTCAAGGCTAGTGCCTTACCACTTGAGCTACAGCACCACTTCCGGTTTTCTGGTGGTTTATTGGAGATAAGAGTTTCACGGAGTTTGCTGCCTTGGCTGGCTTTGAACCGTGATCCTCAGATCTCAGCCTCCTGAGTAGCTAGGATTACAGGCGTGAGCCACCAGCGCCCTCTGTGTTATATTCTAATAGTTTCGAATTTCAATACCCTTACAAAGTTCTATAGTATCTTTATGGGAATAGTTGTTTTTTGTTGTTGTTGGTGGTGGTCGTGGGGTCTGAACTCTTCCCTGAGCTCTTCAACTCAAGGCTAGCGCTCTACCACTTGAGCCACACTGCCACTTCTGGCTTTTTCTGCTTATGTGATGCTGAGGAATCGAACCCAGGGCCTCATGCATGCAAGGCAAGCACTCTACCACTGAGCCACCTTCCCAGCCTGGGAATAGTTTTTAGCGAGTTTTTTAATGAGTTCCAGAGCTTGGAAGTTTTTGTTGGGTGATCTGTAAAGTGCTTTAATTGCTTGGATAATATGTTGACTGAAGTTGATCATTAATGTTTGGTTCTCATTGGCAAACTATAACCATTTCTATAGCTGTATATGGGTTTATGACTTATTTTTAAACCAGAAATCATGTTTCTTTCGTATGTGTATATGCATGTGTTGGTATATGTGTAGAGGAGATTTTTTTTAATTTTTATTTTTATTAATAAGTAGTACTTATGATTTCGTAAGGCAGGTTATTGCATTTGATCATTTTCAGTCCTTCCATTGTTCTCTCCCATTTTCCCCCTCTCATCCCTTACCTCAAGTTACGTAGTTCAATTTTTACATAATATACATGGAATTTGCTCACCCTTTCTCCCTCCAATCGTGTTTCCTCCCTTGGTTTTTGCTGTATAACTGTTGCTGTAGAAACAGAGTAATTTTCCATAAGTGAATGATTTATTACCCGTAATGGTAAAGGTCTTAGTTTCTGACAGTTTCCCATAAGTCTACAGGCTTACTCAACAAGCTAAATCTCCCAATTAAATCTGGTACTCTAATGGTAACATTTCGTTAGTGTGACAAAGAGCTTCTACTTGTAATAAGACCTATGTGATATTTGTCATATTAATTGAACATGCATAAAGTAAATTTAAGATGCATCAAAGCCATTTTGCAATGCAAAGAACACATGGTAGGATTCTAATATTTGCTCTTTTTAAAATTTATAATGAAAATATTAATATATAATTCTGTATATTTTCTGGTTAGGCAAGACACTCCCATAAATTCTTAGGTAATATATATTAAAAAATTTTTGTAACAAAAAAGAATATGTAGTTAGAAGCAACATTAGAAATTAAAAATGATAATGTCTTAGTGAATGTGAATATTTGTACCTTTTGTGTTCTAATAAATTATTAGTAAACTTAGTGACTATTTCATAGATATTTAGTATTAAATGATACATCTATTTTTTTCAGAATTAGAGTTAATCATTACCATGGACATAAAAGAATGGGAATATAAATAGAGTTAGTTTATTTTATCATCAAATCTTTTAGATAAAGTAGTTGAAAAATTCAGTTCATATTTTTGAACTTTAGTTGAAAGATCATACATCTTTCATTAATCTTTTTTTTTTTTTTTTGGGTCCGGTTGTGGGGCCTGAACTCTGGGCCTGGGCACTGTCCCTCAGCTCTTCAGCTCAAGGCTAGTGCTCTACCACTTGAGCCACAGCGCCACTTCCGGCTTTTTTTCTTTTTGCTTATGTGGTGCTGAGGAATCAAACTCAGGGCCTCATGCATGCAAAGCAAGCACTCTACCTCCTGAGCTACTTTCCCAGCCCCTCATTAATCTTTTTAAATCTAGACTAGAGGTTTTTTTGTTTTTTTTTTTGGTGGCACTAAGAATCAAATTCAGGGCTTTATACATGCTAGGCAAGCATGGATGGAATATCCCTGAGCCTTCAGAAAAATAGTTATTTGGATTCATAAATTAATTGGCTTAGTTTTCTTATTTCTACTAAGATGTAAATGTTATAATCTTCATACTTTTCAAATATTTAGTTCTGTTATTTTGAGCAAAATTTTCTCCATAAATCAGTTTAGTGATTTCCTTGAATTTGACATTAACTGCTTTTGGTTTTTGGTTTTTTTTTTTTTTTTGGTTGGTTGTGGAGCTTGAACTCATAGCTTAAGCATTGTTTCTGAGTTCTTTTTGCTCAAGGTTAGTGTTCTACCACTTTGAGCCACAGCTCTACTTCTGGTTTTCTGATTGTTAATAGGGGATAAGAGTCTCATGGACTTTCCTGCCCAATCTGGCTTTGAACCATGATCCTCAGATTGCAGCCTCCTGAGTAGCTAGGATTAGAGGTGTGAGCCACCGGTGCCCAGCTCTTTTTCTTAGTTTTTATTAAAATAATTTAATTTCCATTCTGTGAATTGTTATGTTTAGCTTTGTCCATTCTTCGCATCAGAAAATAGTGTAGTGCTGTGCAGGTAGCTCAGTGTAGAACACCTGTCTACATATATGAGGCCCTAGAAAAATAGAAAAGTAAAAAAAAGAAAGCAGTATCAACACCCTCGCTTATATGAATAACTTTTCAGTACTCATGGAATCTAGTGAGGACTCAGTTTGCATATGGGTAAAGTAATGTTAAGACATTTTGTTTTTTGAGATTAGGATGTTAATAATATTGTGATAAAATTTTGTTCTACCATTCATAATCATTTTCTCTAGGATTTGTGTGCACATGCCTGGATGTGTGTGTTCTTTTAATCTAAGAGGCTTTTAATTTACTCATCAAGAATCCTAAAGTTATATATATATATATATATATATATATATATATTAATAAAAATAGTTGTAGCCTATTTTAATTATTTTTACCTTGTGTGTAGGAGAGACTTGAGTCCAGCAGAGTGCGCTGTTGACTTTCTGATAAAGTGTTGGTCTTGGGGAGACCTTGGACTACCCCAATTCTTTCCTCTCATCCCTTGTATGTCCTTCCTCCTTTCCTTCTTTTATCCTTCCCTCACTCTTTATTTTCTCTTTTTATATTTCAGAATGTTCTATAGGATCTCAGGGGAAAAAAAAACTGACCAGTATCCTCTAAAAAGTATTTGATGTTATTTTCTCACGTTTTCAATTTGCTTTTAAATTTGAAGTAACTAGTTAGATATGGAGAAGGAAACAGAAAGGGTTATTCTGAGCAAAATATAATATTTGCATGTGTGAAATATCACCCTTCGGTGTAAGTAATATGCACTTTAACAAAAAGAGTGACAGGGGCTGGGAAGATGGCTCAGTGGTAGAGTGCTTGCCTTGCATACCTCTGAGGCCCTGGGTTCGATTCCTCAGCACCACATAAGCAAAAAGAAAAAAAAGAGTGACAGGAAGGTAAAACAGGCTCAGGTGTGAGTGGGGCAAGCTAATAAAGAGGGTAAATGAAGATCACAGTTCACTTGTACATATGAACTTAGAACAAACCTGTGGAAATTGTTGTAAGGAGAAGGACTGGGATGAGGGTGAATGATAGATAGAGTGGAAAAGGGTGATAGGAGCACCTTGTTTTACATTTGTAGAATCTCCCCTTATACAACTTGTGTGTCCTAATAATAAAGTAGCTAGTTAGCATAACTGCATATAGGTGGAGATGTTTATGTATGCAGGAATTCCTCTAAGTAATTTAGAGATGTTAATTCACCTGGGAAATCATGGCCTAAGTGAGTTAATGCACTTTGTCAAGTTATTTTAATATTCCTTGTTTTTGACAGTTTTCATAAGAAAACAAAAGAGTTTGACCAAGTCTTTACTACAATTTTTTGTGTGTGTATGTGGTACTAGGGTTTGAATTCAAGGTCTCAGGGTTGTTAGACAAGTGCTCTACCACTATAGCCCTTCTTTTGGTTATTGATTGTTTATAAAAGAGAGTCACGTGTTTGTTATTTTATGTTTTTGTTCAGCATTGCCTGTAAAGTGATCTTCCTGTTAATGCTTGTTGCTATAGCTAGCATAACAGGTATATGCCACAACACTTAGCTTATTGTTTTGTTCTGATATGAGGTCTTGCGAACTTTTTGGTTAGACTGGCCTCAGACGTTGAGCCTCCCCTCTCTACCAAACAGAGCGTCTGGGATTAACATATAACAAGGGCTGCACTTGGCCTCTGTTACAATCCTGAGGAATTAAGGGTATTATTTTCCTTAGTTATTCAAGAGAAAAATGGCACAGTATATAATTTGTTCATGTTACAAAGCTGACAAGAGTACACATTAAAGCAGCAGTTTGCTATATAATAGGTTCTCTCAACTGCCTGACATTCTGCCTTTGAGTGAACTCTTCCTGATGGTCTTTGCATGAAAGATGGTTTGTTTTATACTGTCACAGATCATACTGTATGTAGTATCATTTAGTTTCCTAACACACTGTCATTTATTTATTTGTGTGCTTATTTTGGGCTGGCCCTGGCTTGAACTCAGAGTTTGGATGCTGACCTTAAGCTTTTTTGCTTGTACTCTAGCACTTGAGCCACAGCTCTACTTTTGACTTTGGTGGTAAAGCAGAGATAGAGAGTCATACAGACTTTCCTGCCTAACTACCTTTGAACACTGTCCTCAGTTCTCAGCCTCACAACGAGCCATTGGCACCTGGCTTTTCTGTCCTTTATTTTTCAGTGCTTACCAAAGTTTG